TGTCTATCCACGTTTGTAGTCTGGCTTTCAAGATGCAAATATCTCCATATTGTCCAGTTGACACTCCTCAAACTTTGTATAAGACCAGCACACTTCACCTTTGCGCACCCAGACAACTGAGGCCTAATTATGCATGCTGACAGGGCAGTAGTCACCATATACATTGAGGGGGACACGTGTCCCCCCCCCGCCCCCCATTGCCCAAAATTCCCCCCCCAATATATAACTGACATCATTGCACTTGGTTGACTATTTTTCTATTATCTTAGATGTAGATATTGCATGTTTCTTTTAGATAAAACATATTTTTGACTTGTGAATGAGTCTATGGAATTTCTTGCAATAATGAAAAAATACTGGCAATCATGTCCGCCTGGCACAAACCACATATTTTGGACAGCTGTGAAGTGACAGAATGTCCCACCATTCCCCCTCCCCTCTCCATATATGGCAGAATATGTCAACTTCCAACTTGCTATGGTGAGATACATGTAAAAATGTAAGAATTTAGTCACACAGATTTGTTTTTTCATTGATATAAAAATTAATATAAAATACAGACACATAGAAGGACATGGAATGATGGCAAATCTGGATAGCCCAGATTGTCCTGAAACCCCCCCCCCCAAGATATAGCATGTGTATGTAGCCTTTATAATGACTGTGATATGAGCGTAAAAGCAAAGGCAGGAAAAATTCCCCAAAAAGGCCTAGGGCCCAGAGTTAAACAGTAATATTAAAAGGAAGGTGAGAAATTATTTTCAGCCCCAAAACTATTTTATCTTCAGTGTTTTTTTTAATTTATATGATTTAATTAATCACAATTAAAAATTAACCTTTCGATACCAGGTTTGATCATATACCACAAACTGCTTTTTTGAAAAATACACTGTAATTCAATATTCTAAAAGCAAAACTGACTTTGATTACTATTAGTATCATCGGTTGACCCATCTGAAGAAATGATTTTGCACTTGTCCTGTGCATTTGACCCTCACAATGTAAGAGCACTAAGACCACTGGAGTGGTCTACAAAAGCTGCTAAGCGTGCCTATGGAGAGCGAATTGAGAGTCATTTCAGGGAGAATGACCCCCAACACATGTGGCAGGGTTTGAATACTGTTACCTCTTATAAACCCAGAGGCCACGCCACTGTAGCTTCCAAATGAACTTAATCATTTCTACTCCAGATCTGATGTCATGATCACTGAGTCTCCTGTTTTTATCCCTTCTAATCTTAGTGACCAGGCCAGTTTCACTGTGTCAATAGATGAGGTTCGCAAGGTTCTGTCCAAAACTAGGATAAGGAAAGCCGCAGGTCCAGACGGCATCCCTCCTCGGGTTGCTAGGTTATGTTCTGAACAGCTTTCCCCTGTGCTCACGGACTTGTTCAATATGTCACTGGAGCACCGCCTTGTTCCACGTAGCTTCAAGGAATCTATTATAATTCCAGTACCTAAAAAGTCACCTGTGTCCTGTCTTAACGATTACAGGCCCATCGCTCTTACTTCTGTGTTAATGAAATACCTGGAGCGGCTAGTACTGGATTATATTAAATATCAGATTCCTGTTTCTGTTGATCCTCTGCAGTTCGCTTATAGGAAAAATAGGTCTGTGGAGGATGCCATTTCTTTTGCTTTGAAATTTGTCTATGCACACTTGGATATGGGAAACACCTATGTCAGAATGCTTTTTATAGACTATTGTTCTGCTTTTAACTGTATTATTCCTTCAAATCTCATTCATAAACTCCAGTGTCTTGGTTTGTGTGATGCTGTTTGTGAATGGATTTTTAGCTTTTTAACCTTGAGACCTCAAAGAGTCAGAATCGGTGACTGTGTATCTGATGAACTTATTTTAAACACCGGCTCACCACAAGGCTGTATTCTCAGCCCTCTGCTGTTCTCTCTCTGTACGTATGACTGTACTGCCTCTCACCATAATAATCTGATTGTAAAGTATGCTGACGATACAACCGTCAAATGACGAGTCACACTACAGATCTGAGGTAAAAATTTAGTCAAGTGGAGTGAGAACAACAATCTAATCTTAAATGCTTCCAAAAGAAAGGAAGTTGTTATTGACTTTGGCCGCAAGAATGAATCCCATCTCCCTCTCACCATAAACAGCACGGAGGTCGAGATGGTGAGTAGTTTTAAATTTCTTGGTGTCACTATCACTGATAATCTCAGCTGGCACTTAAACACCAGCATCATTGTTAAAAAATCACTGCAACAGCTTTTCTTTCTGCGCAAATTAAAGGAATTCACCTTAAACTGCCAGATTTTATCAAATTTCTATCGTTGCGTGATTGAAAGCATCCTTACCTCCTCGCTTACAGTGTGGTTTGGTAATCTAACTGTACAGGATCGAAAATCCTTAAACAGAGTCGTTCGGCCTGCCTGCAGGACCACTGGTGCTGACCTGCCAGATCTTGATGTCATTTACGGCTCTAGGCTAGGCTCTAGGCTGTCCCGCGCCTTAGGTATTGTAAACGACCCTACTGGTCACACTGGTGCTGGTCTTTTTGTTGCTTCTTCCATCCGGCAGACGCTATTGTTCTATCAAGTGTTCTTCCTCTCGGTCTACCAATAGTTTCTTTCCCAGTGCTGTGCGTAGCCTTAACAACTTCAAATCACATACTTAACAATGTATGGTGTATGCTTTATATTTCTTGTACTTGTGTATAAATAATGCACTTTATATTCATGCACTTTGTCCAAAGTGAGTGTCAGTTGATCTACAGGGGCACCTGTCTTTTTATTACTCTTATTTATGTATTTATTCATTGTTTTTTTAACCTTGTCTACTGTTTTTCATGTATTTTTATGCTGAGCTCTTGCAACTCGTTTCCAATGCAGTTTTTCTGCAAATGGCAAATAAACTGATTCTGATTCTGAGCTACAAGCCGCTGCATCTGTGTGCACCAGCATCTTGAAACACTGTTAACACTGTTGATCATTAAGTGTGTGCTTGTAAATCACCACTTAAACTTATCAAAAACTGCTGGAAAAATGATTATTTGTAAGGATTGAGAAATTATTTGTATTTGTAGAAAAATTTGTCCAAATGAAATTTTATACAACCCATCACATTGATTCTAATTTCTGATACATAAATTAGCCTATCTGGATTAGTTTAAAGATAATATTTAAAGCAACACAATGGAGTTTTTGAGCCCTCAAAATATATATCCAAGATTCCTGTGATGGTACATCACATAGAGAGCGTCTGTTGCACTTGCACTGGCACTATGCAGTTTCAGGTTCGGGTAGGAACCCGGACACAAAAAGACTACAAAATTTGGCTGCTTTACGGCATACGTCATATCCCCCTCCTCGTCATATCCCCCTCCTCTCTTTAGAGTAGTGTAGCCGAACCAAGGTGAATGAAGTTAGACATGGTTGTCATGGCTGAAGCCACAAAGAAAAGGAAGAAGGTGAAGGTGTTGTTCAAGGAGACAAAGAAAAGAAAACGGGAGAGTGATAAAACAAGCGCTTGAATAAGGATTAATATTGGCCTGGCTTTCACACAGCTGGCGAGAGCTGAAAGAGGAGGAGGGATGCCCGACTGACGGTGACCTGGCGCTGTTACTGCTGTTACTCTCTCCTTAGAAGACTCAATGTCTGCAGGTCGGCTGCCTCAGGTACATTTTAAGATTAAGTGTTAGCCTACATACAGACAGCTTTGATTGTAGTTCGTCTTTAACAGTTTGCTGTTAGCACCGCGAGCGCGATGTGCTTGTGTCGACCGCGATTGTAAATCATAATAGCAGTGAATGAGAGACTGCGGACAGAGCAGATTGAAATATGGCTTTCTACATGCTGATCACATGTATTGATAAAGTATTGGCTTGGCTGGCAGAGGTTTTATCCCACTTACTTATAATAACAAGCGTAGCTGTCGTTAACTAGAGTAATCTTGAAGTTATATTCCCTTCATCTGTGGCCTCTCTGCTATTGTCTGACTTCTTTCTGTTGAGTTTGTGTGTGTGTGTGTGTGTGTGTGTGTGCGCATGCGTGCTGTGAGGAGGATGTCAGCCCTGACATGCAGAGAGCAACTAATTTCTGAGTTTCGAAAATGAATAAATAAATAAAGCAATCGGCCTAATCATGTATGTACAAAATGCTATAAGGCTACTTTACCTGTTTTGAAGACATGATCATCGCGCATTATACCCAGCTTCAGGAAGTTCACCGGTATCATTGGCTTGTCAACAAATCCACGCGCAGAAAGATTTTTGCGACAGTTGTAACAGAAAATACCGTTTTTCGTCTGTAGGGGGACCCCGTGAGGTAAAAAGCGCAATCCTCCATTGTGTTGCTTTAAAAAAACATATAGAAAAAATTATATTGACATAAAGTAATGACTAAAATGTCACAAATTTTCATTTACTTGAACATTGAGTTTTTGTCGACTAAAACTATAGGATAGGAAGGATAATATATGGATAAAAATTACTAGAATGTGACTAAAACTAGTAAGCATTTTCGTCTCAGGACTAAGACTAAATCTAAAATAGCTGTCAAAATTAACACTGACGCTCATCGATGGCCTAACCTTGACCAATGGCAGCTTGGTGCGTCAGGGCCTTTACACACTGAAAGATTAAAGACGTAAAGCCTGCTATATGTGGGTTGGCTCTATAGCATGACACGAGCAGGATATAGAGACGCACAGAAGCATTATGTGGAATTTAATGCTTGTCTTAATTTCAGAGAGACTGTAATGCAACTCGAGGATTTGTACACAATCTTGTAAACAAATATTCTGTTACAAAGAGGGTGTGTAGTTATTAAATACATAATGTGCAGTTACTCTGTGTGTGTGTGTGACATTTTATTCTCTTCTCTGCCAAATTCAAGGAAGGTTTGTGTTAGTTTAGTCTACTGGAAAGTTCCTTGGGCATTAAGAGTTAAACTGTGATTTTTTTTTCTGGTTCTGTATTAATTTCTTTAATAATGATGGACCTACAACAAATCATGCCACAAAAGTCATACCTGTCTGAATCCATCAGAGAAGTTATTTTTGTAGTAACGGATCATTGAGTTCCAGCCATCCATCAGAAGCCCCCACCTGGTCCTTTTCCCTGTCCTGATGGGCAAATTAAGTTTGACTAAACAACAGCCATGACACTAACTCCAGAAAACAACATGTTGATCAACCGATGTGTGGTATAGGATTGTACACTACTGTACCTTGTGAAGTCTGTTTTCAAGGCTCCAGTTCCTGCGTACTGTATAGCACATGCATTGGCATTGTCAGCCCATGCTGGTTAAAGAGCACACACACAGAATAGTGAGGACACACTAAGAGGCTACAGGGTCTACTTATCACACAACACATGCTTATAGTCGATCATACACAATACATTACCGTTCTTGTAGATCTTTTCAAACTCAGCCTGCTCTTCAATCCGTTGACCCACATTCAGAACTCCCATCCTCTGAGCACACACAGGCACAACACATATAAAGGTCAATAACATTCAAGCCTCTCAATATGTGCAGATTCTGTATCTTTTCATAAAGAATGTGTGTATATTTATTACAGGTGGGATTTATTCCCCAATTGGCTGAAAACATACATTTAAAGGGATATACCATCCAAAACTGCACATCTATCTATTTATCTACCAACATCAACTTGCTCAGTATCTTTGGAAGATTATATTTGCCAAAATATGTTCAAAGTGTTGACTCTGGGAACAGTAGTATAACAAATCAATCTGAGCTATTTCACTTTAACAAAACTAGGTAAAAACAAAAAAAACAAGGATATGGCTGGACCGTGTATGAAAAAAATTACCCTTAAAGCATAGATTGTGACAGTATTGTATGATGAATTTGCTCTTCTAAGAGGCTTAGCAGTAGTCAGTAAAAAATACCTGAAGCTGAGACTGCAGGGAGCGTCGGGCCAGCAGGCTCTGAATAACATTAGTCCTGTCCAGGCAGTCCATGCAATTACTGCGGAAGACTCCTCTCTGCTGGGCTACCGTCTTCCCCTCTGAGTTCACCATGAAGTGACTACACACAGAGGAAAGTTGGAACATTCCAACAATGTATTCAACAACAGATATTAGCCTGGAACAGCTGCTGGTTAAGTTACCTGTATTCATCTTGTGTTTCAGCGACAGCATCCACTAAGATCTGGAGACGATCCCATCTCATGTGGCTGCACTCTTTGTGGAAGTCGAAGGCTATGTAACTGAAGACATAGGAAACAATGTTACTGTGCCATAGTCAGATTAGGAGGACATGTCTGGATTATTTTGTTTTTGATCAGGCAGCAATTCATTGTTACAGAGATGGCAGAAATAGTTATACACTTCACAGTACCCAAGGAGAGCTAAATGGAAAATGAAAATGTCTCCCAGACTCCGGACAGAAATAAAGTCAGTGCATTTACATGCAATCACGTAACTGGGTTACAGCCAGCTTTATCCAGTAAGATGATTTTTCAAACCCGGTACTGTATTCACAAAGCTTCCTTGTACAAAGAGGACTCCTACTGAGTCCTACTAAAATTCTGAGAAAATTCTTGAAATTATGCTTTCTAAGAACTTTCCCTTGAAGTTAAGACTAGATCCTGGTAAAGATAAAAGTTATTCACAAAGCATCTTAGCCCTTAACAGAGCTCCTCAAGTGAAAAACTGTAAGGAGGAGCGAGGAGGACTTTTAAGAGGCTTAAGAGCTTCTTAAGCAGAGGAGAACATGATGGAGACAAACTGTTATGGATAACAGCTTGGAGAAATATTCTCCTAACACTGGATGAAAGTGAGTAAATGAAATGCCACAAATTAGATGGTGCAGGGATAATGACTGTCATCAATCTTATTAGAGATGCACTCACATCTGCCACCCAACACTATAACAATATAATACCAGAAATAAAGCGATCACAACACTAAGATATTTGGTAAAAATTACTGGGTCACGGCAGTATGCCTCCGCACACCAGTCAAGTTTCTCTTACAGTTTACATCCATGTCTGTGGAAACATGGATGCTTCACACACATCTTCCCCCTGGCAGCACAGAAAATCTATACAATCAGCCCAGTTTCAAGGTGGACACCCAAGATTTGTGTCACCAGTTCTGACTGGGGCTGGGTATCGCCACTGATTTCCTGAATCGATTCGATTTTGATTCAAGGGGTCCCGATTCGAATCGAATCCAGATAGTGATCCAGATAGTGTAACGATAGCACAACACAGCAGCATGTCAAGTGGGTCGAAACCGAGCAAAATTGCTCAGTTTTTCATTTATTATATAGTTTGTTATGGAGTTTGTGATTTCCCCATGACACTTACAAATGTTTGCGTAACTGTGCTTGGAAGTTACTTTATGAGGCTCTGGCAGCTTTCAGTTGTCCCTTTGTCTTTAAAGAGGCAACAGATAGGATTTGTTTTTTTATTAGCTTGGCGCCACCTAGCGTCAGCGGTGTTGCTCGCACTGTCGCAACAACCAAATTGACCGTGGGGATCAGATATAATCAATAAAATGTAGGCTGTAAAGCCACCAGTATACCTCTATGTATATGTAGAATGAGAAGGTGTGTGGACACTATACTAAATAAATGAGTAAAGAGACCAAGCAACAATTATCAGATTTATCTTAAGAAAAAACAAATAGTAATGCAAATAATTATACCAGAATGAAAAATAACTCCCGACAGGGGAATGGAACCCCAACGTGCAGCGGAGTTATTTTTCAACTGTCACTGGCTCACTATACATTATCCCGCTTAGAACATGGCTTACTACTAAAACATTCAAATGTTACAACTGGCATCAATATTATTAAATTGCTGGCAGAGTGTATTGACAACTCCCGTTTGTCTGTTCACCAGACAAACGGGAGCGGAGGAGAGGATTTTACTCCACTTCTCCCGGTCGGAGATGCTGGGTGCGAAGGCTGCCCTCACATTTATGGCCAGTGACCGACATGATCCAGGCCAGCTTGGGAGAGCTGTGTGGACTAACGTTAACTGATTTTGATGCTCCTCAGTCTAAGCCCGTTGCAGTGAAAAGTCCAGTGTTCACAGCTGGGCATAACTTAGCTGGGCGATGTCCATCGATAGCTGCCTCCATGAGAAGAGAACAGAAGGAAGGGGGTGGGTATCACTGTAGAATGGCAACGAGGATGTCAGCCGACCAACACTCGCTACCCGGTCCCTGGTTGTGGCGATTTGCGATGCTGGCCAGCTAGGAATTAACTAGCAGCCAGTACAGTACAATCCTCTCTCGTCTAGCTAACATTTAGCCATGTTACTTACTGATCAATTAGAAAGAAAGCTAGCTGGACATGGGTTTTGAAGTCTCTTTGGTCACAGAGCTCCCTCCATCTCTTAAACGCCGGACTGAGGTTTACTCTTGTTTTTTCTCTTCTTTTATCACTCGTCTTTGCCTCCTCAGACAGAGGAGCTTGTTTTCTTTTGCTAGGCCATTTTTCACTTGTCTCCAAACTTTGTCTGTCTGCCATTGTGCTCGTGACTCAACTACCTCATGCCCAGCTCCTTATAAGGACCAGCTACAGTCCCTGATTGGCTGACCGACCAGTTTCGCAATACATGATGCCTTTCCTGCCGTAAAGCCAGTTTTTTTCCGTGAAATTTCGCCCCCGGTGGCAGAATCTTATTACAAAGATTGCAAAGCCACTAAGTAACCTATGTAAATGCTGATAGTCTGATTTTACTGTGGCCACTACTCTGTGCAACCCACATTATTTTCATAATGGTATATTTAGGAAAAAATGCTGTCTGTTGCCTCTTTAACGTTACACGGCTTGGCTTTCTCTCGCATGCATTCTTCCTACTTTTCTCCATGCTGTCTCAAGTGTTGAAATAGATTGGTCATGTTGCCGCGGCACGTGGCGACTTTAACTTTTAAACTTTAGACAGCACGTCTTTCTGTTCAGTGTCGCCGTACCTGAATCCAAAGTATCGCCATGTAATAGATGTTGCTTTTTTTCTGCCACCAATTCAGCCTGTGCTTGGTCGTGCTCTTCTTCCGTCTATGTTGGTCACTGCTGCACGCCGGGTGGTCACCTGACCATACGTGCTGCACACACCAGGATAGCTTGTGGGCATAATGTCAACACACTCCACACACTACAGCAGAGGTAGTCACGTTCACAGGCACACACGTTAACATTTATTTACATTAAATTGCAAATCGCAGCCTTTTATGCAGTTATGTAATCGCACAGCCTGACACTGAGATTGCGATTAGATTAATCGTGCAGCACTAGTGTAAAGTTTTGTCATAAAAATTGAGTTATGGTCAAAAACATGTTTTGTAGTTTTCTAGTATCTAGTTTAACAGAGGAATTTAAATGTACCAAGGTCAGGACAGAGCTCTTGTTATCTGGGAGTAAGGACGTGGTAGTTAGGAGTGTGGTTCCAAATCCAACCAAGGGGAGGAAGTGGAACCCAAGATCGGCAGTTCAGGAGACAGAGGCAGCTCTTAGACATGCAGAGACTGTAGGTAATGTTCAGTTTGGCCGGGGAGGCCTGGGGCTTGGCTCAGGTAAACCGGTATGGAATACAGCAGGCCTCAAAGATAAAAGAAAGCTGGTTGTAGAACAGATACGCAGACAGGAAGAGATAGTAAGGGGTGCAAAGGTAGTGGCCCAGGCTAAACAGGGACAGTGGTTGAATTGGGAAAGTGTAGAGAAGAGGAAGCTTAGTTGGAGGGACCTGTGGAGTATGGAGGAGAATCGTATTAGATTCCTGGTAGGGGCTACATACGATGTGTTACCAACCCCCCAGAACCTAAAACTGTGGGTAAATGAGGACCCATCATGCCCATTGTGTTCACGTACCGCAACTTTAAAGCATATTTTGTCAGGCTGTAAAGTTAGCTTGTCACAAGGCCGATATACATGGCGACATAATCAGGTGTTGAAATGTTTAGCTGCAGGCATCGAAGGGAAACGAAGACAGGTGAATTCAGAAGGTGTTAAGGATAGGGGCTTAGTAATTCAGTTTGTCCGTGAGGGAGAGAAATACAGAAGGGATAAGTTAGTGAGGAGGCAAGGGTGTGGCCGCCTAGAAGGTGCTTGTGATTGGGAAATGCAAGTAGATTTAGGGGGAAAGCTTGTTGTTCCTCAGGAAATAGTCTGTACCAGGCAGAGGCCTGACTTAGTGTTGTGGTCAGTGAGTCAACAGATAGTTTATTTCATTGAGCTGACAGTTCCTTGGGAAGACTCAGTGGAAGAAGCCTATGAAAGAAAAAAGCTTAGATATGCAGACTTAGGAGCAGAAGCTGAGCAGCGAGGATGGAAGACTAGGATTTGTCCAGTGGAAGTGGGGTGTAGGGGATTCATAGCAAGATCAACTGTCTCACTCCTGGGGGAACTCGGAGTGCGGGGACAGAATTTGAGGAAGACAGTGAGGGAAATGTCAGATGAAGCAATTAAATGCAGCCAGTTTATCTATTACAGAAGAAATAATGTCAGCTGGGGGCCAGCAGGGGGAACTACTAAGCAGGGCACATAACTCCTTGAGATCAGGTGGAGAGATCCACTTCCTGTCAGGAGAAATCCAGGAAGAGGAAGTATTTAAGTGTGGGAGTGGCCTATTGGAATCCATTTTGTTTGAGGCCATGCGGCAAGGTGAGTGTGCTTGCTGATCCTGTAAGTCCAGTTAGCTCCTTTAACTTTAGCTTATATTGTAGTTATGCTATGTAGTGTGTGAAATAGAGTATGGTGAATGTGACAGGAAAGCTAGTATCAGCATTGCTTCTGCCTGGAGCTCGCATGTATGGAGCCTGGGTTTGGTTGAAGATGGCAGTGCTGTTTGGGCTGAGAAAGCCATGTGTAAGTAAGAAGGAAATCCAGGAAGAGGAAGGTTATTTAAGTGTGGGAGTGGCCTATTTGAATCCATTTTGTTTGAGACCATGCTGCAAAGTGAGTGTGTTTGCTGATCCTGTGAGTTCATTTATCTCCTTTAACTTTAGCTTACATTGTAGTTATGCTATGTAGCGTGTGAAATAGAGTATGGTGAATGTGCTAGTAAAGGTAGTATCAGCATTGCTTCTGCCTGGAGCTCGCATAAACGGAGCCTGGGCTTGGTTGAAGTTGGCAGTGCTGTTTGGGCTGAGATCACTGTCCAGCCTCCTGGAGGTGTCATTGTTGTGAGGGCTCGTCCTGGGGAGGTAGACTGTACAGCCTAACCCGGCGGGGGAGTGTGATAGCCTAACAAGGCTTCCTTCCCTGGGTCTACCTCCTCTGTGGTAGTATAGGTAAGGTAAAGGAGGTTGTTCGGTTAGTGTGGGGAGCAGTGAGACCTGGCATTAGGGGAGTGTCTCTGGGACGCCAGAGATCACTGTCTAGCCTCCTGGAGGTGTCGTGGGACTAACTAGACGAAACACCGGTGAAAGGAGGTTCCCACCCGATGACCCCAAAGACATGTTAGTTATCACTGCTCACGGGTCTGTATAGTTAAGCCTTGCCATAATAGCTTATCGTAGGGCTTAGGAGGATTATTCACTGAGTGCTGATCCCTTTTTTTTTTTTTTTTTTTTTTTTTTTTATTAGAGCACAAACTTCTTGTGTTTATTTGAATTGTGAGGTCACGCTGACCTTGACCATTGACCTTTAACCACAAAATTCTAATCAGTTTATTCTTCAGTCCAAGTGGACGTTGGTGTCAAATTTTTAAAATTCCCTTAAGGTGTTCTTGAGATACCGCATTCACGAAAATGAGATATAGCAAAATCACAGTGACCTTGACCTTTGACTCTTGACCACCAAAATTCAATCAATTCAATCTCGTGTCCAAGTGAACATTTGTGCCAAATTTGAAGAAATTCCCTAAGGTGTTCTTAAAATACTGCCTTCACAAGAATGAGATGGATGCAAGGTCATGGCCACCTTGACCTGTGATCCTTGACCACCAAAATCTAATCAGTTCATAATTGAGTCCAAATGAACATTCATCCAAAATTTAAACAACATCCGTCAAGGCGTTCTTGAGATATCGTGTTCACAAGATATACAGATGGACGGACAACCTGAAAACAAAATGCCTCTGGCCACGGTTGTCGTTGGTGTGGAGGCATAATTAGAAAAATGCAGCAGTGATGATTCAGCAGAATGATCACACCGACAATTTCCAGCACTTTCAGTCTCATATTGTGATGCAGCTCATTTCACATCCACTAGGTGTCCACACCTTGCAGGCTCACAAAAGGACCACCAATCACATCAGTTAAAAGAATGTCACATCTGGCAACAGGATCAACCCCACCTCCTAAAAGTTTCTGTTCCTATGTTTCCTACATCACTCCCAAGCTAGGACTCCTTTCCTGAAATGTTCAAGCCAAGTTAGGAACTCTATGAGAGTATTCTCAGAAATGTGAAGACGGACCCTGGTTTCTGTAATCTGGCTATGGGATTAGAAAAACCCAATTTCCCCAGGTAGATGCATTTATACACATATTTACAATAGCCAGGTTACTACAGTGAATGTAAATGTGTTCTCTGGGTAACCTGGTCACTAGAGTGCATGTCCTTGATGAACATGAAAATAGTAGAAGCCACTGAGCGACACTTACTTGAGCATACCATTGTTCATGCCAGACACCATCTTGGCAAAGGCCTGTTCCAGTGGTTTCTCTGAGCCCTTCTGATTCACCTAGAAAAACAAGAAACCCCAAATTGGCCTGATAATTACTTGCTTACTTACTTCCTTTAAAAACATATCATGAAAAGAACATGAAAAAGGGTCCTCACCAGGTTCAGAATTGTTTGCTTCCCATAGAGAAGCAGCTGAGAGTCAAAATGTCTCTGGAAACCATCCATCTGTACAAAGTTTCCATGAGGTTAACATCAGATTTCCACTGCTATCACAATTTAGAAAGCACACAGAAACATTAAACGCCTGCTCTTACGTGATTGGTGGTTTTGCTGATTATAGGTTTGGGTTTGTATTTGAGGTTGGGCCTCTGACTCCAGTAAAAGGGCATGGAGCCTCGTGTCTGGGGATGGAAAAAAATGTCTTGAAAAGTAATTTCTGAAATCTTGCACTTCTCAAACCTAAATGTTTTAACATCTGAACTAAAAGCTGCAGAGAAGATGAAGAGAAAGCCAGGTAAAAATGAGCCACAAGTGAAACAGTCTAACAGTATAACTGGCTCTTATACTTGCCTGTACAAATGAAGCCTTTGCTCCCTCATACAAAATTATCTGCTCAGTCTCCACAAAGTTAGCCGCATGGCCTTCAGAGTCGATGCCTGTGAGGACAGCAGAAGAGAAACATCCATGTGCAATCAGTAGTGTTAGAAGTCATGTCATTAGTGAGGCAGACAACATCACCTTCTGTTGGACCTTTCAGGGCTGCACAGTATATATATTTAACCGAGATGGCAACACGGATTGCCGCCTCGCTCTCTTGTACTTCTCCTGGTTTTGTCTGTTTTTTTAAGCCTCCTGCCCCCCCTTTCTGATCACCTTCACCAGAGAGGAACGCCTCTTGGTCAGTCCTGCACTGCGCTCACTCTATTTTTTGCATTGTGGTTTTTCTAGGATTTATTTGCACTATGTTGTATATTTCTGACAGGAGTATATTGTTTTTCCTCCTTTTTTTTCCTTGTCCTGTAAGGCATCATTGCATTATGTGATAAATGTGCAAAAAAAAAAAAATTAGGCCTATCCTGACCCAAAAAAATGCAGAAAAATTTGTCCACGCTTTTGTTACCTCAAGGCTGGATCACTGTAACTCTCTATTATCAGGTAGCTCTAGTAAGTCCTTAAAAACTCTCCAGCTAATTCAGAATGCAGCAGCACGTGTACTAACAGGAACTAAGAAACAAGATCATATTTCTCCTGTTTTAGCTTCAATGCACTGACTCCCTGTAAAATCCAGAATTGAATTTAAAATCCTACTGTTAACTTATAAAGCTCTAAATGATCAAGCTCCATCATATCTTAGAGAGCTCATAGTGCCATATTATCCCACCAGAACACTGCGCTCAGAGAATGCAGGGTTACTCGTGGTCCCAAAAGTAGATCAGGAGCCAGAGCCTTCAGCTATCAGGCTCCTCTCCTGTGGAATCATCTTCCTGTTACGGTGCGGAGGCAGACACCGTCTCCACATTTAAGACTAGACTTAAGACTTTCCTCTTTGATAAAGCTTATAGTTAGGGCTGGCTCAGGCTTGCCTTGTTCCAGCCCCTAGTTAGGCTGACTTAGGCTTAGTCTGCCAGAGGACCCCCTATAATACACCGGGCACCTTCTCTCCTTCTCTCTCTCTCGTGTCCTATTACTGCATCTTGCTAACTCGGCCATTCTGGATGTCACTAACTCAGCTTCTTCTCCGGAGCCTTTGTGCTCCACTGTCTCTCGGGTTAACTCGTATTGCAGCGGTACCTGGATAGTGTGACGTGTGTGGTTGTGCTGCTGCCGTTCCTGCCAGATGCCTCCTGCTGCTGCTGTTATCATTAGTCATACTTCTACTGTTATTATACACATATGATTATTGTCACATATGTACACTATCAGATATTAATATATACTTTCAACATATTGTACCACAGTAGCCAGAACTATAATTATAATATTATTACTTTCATTAATGTTATTGTAAGCTACTGTCATTACCGTCTGTCCTGCATCTCTCTCTGTCTCTCTCTCTTTCTGTCTCATTGTGTCATACGGATTACTGTTAATTTATTATGCTGATCTGTTCTGTACGACATCTATTGCACGTCTGTCCGTCCTGGAAGAGGGATCCCTCCTCAGTTGCTCTTCCTGAGGTTTCCACCGTTTTTTTCCCCCGTTAAAGGGTGTTTTTTTGGGGAGTTTTTCCTTATCCGCTGTGAGGGTCCTAAGGACAGAGGGATGTCGTATGCTGTAAAGCCCTGTGAGGCAAATTGTGATTTGTGATATTGGGCTTTATAAATGAAATTGATTGATTGATTGATTGATTGATTGATTGCTTGATTGATTGATTGATTGATTGGCGGCACGGTGGTGTGGTGGTTAGCACTGTTGCCTCACAGCAAGAGGGTTCCCGGTTCGATCCCGGGTGTGGGAGCCCTTCTGTGCGGAGTTTGCATGTTCTCCCCGTGTCAGCGTGGGTTCTCTCCGGGCACTCCGGCTTCCTCCCACAGTCCAAAGACATGCAGATTGGGGATTAGGTTAATTGATATCTCTAAATTGTCCGTAGGTGTGAATGTGAGCGTGAGTGGTTGTCTGTCTCTATGTGTCAGCCCTGCGATAGTCTGGCAACCTGTCCAGGGTGTACCCTGCCTCTTGCCCGATGTCAGCTGGGATAGGCTCCAGCCCACCCACAACCCTCAAGAGGATGAAGCGGTTAGAAGATGAATGAATGATTGATTGATTGATTGATTGATTGATTGATATGACCACGTCATGTGTGTATTTAAGATGGCGGCACCCTTTGTCTTGTAAGTGTGATGAAGAGCCTGACGCTTGCAACGTTACTTCTGTTCGAATAAATTCGACTGAGCATTGGAGTCCTGCAGTGCGCGAACTGTTTTAATCTTCTTTTGTCAGTCCTGCACTGGAAATTGGTTGCCGGTTTTCAATGACCCAGCGAGTTTTGCAGAGATTTTGTTTGGAGGCGTAGCGGCTCTCCTTGGGATTTGCTAGAGACAGAAGCCGCATTTCCATTACAGTTTTGTGCAAAATAAATGCAATATTTCTAAAGTTTCAACAAAGTACAATTGCGACTTGCAGGTGTTTCCATTAAAAGGTGCTCTGCGTATGAGCCGTAATTCTCGTAAAATCTCGTCCTGCAAGACTCCACTTTGTTTGCAGAAGTAAGATGGACATTCCAAATCTCTTGCAAGCTGGAACAATCATCTCAGTTGCCAATGCTGCTGTTGCAGTAGTCTACAACCGAAGACGAAGAGAGCGAGTGGTATTCCAAAGGCAAAGTCCTTCGGTGTGGCAGTGACCAACGAGGACTTCACAGAAGACTGAAATGTCCAGTGACGTACATTTGCGAAAAAAGTGTTTCCATTACACTTTTGCGATATAATTCTATATCGACACGTCTGAAAAACCACCTCATGAGAGCGTAAAAACTTTTACTTGATATTTGAGAGTTTTTTCAAAATGTAGGTGTTTCCATTACCAGTGGATTATTGCGATATTTAGGTTTTGCGCATTTCTAGGATTAATGGAAACACACTTAGAGATGGGGCAAGCGCCAGAGCGTTCAGGCTACGGCAGCGGGGATTACGCGCTCCGCTCCCGTCTATACACCTGCCGAATGTCTGCTCTCTGCAGGACTGGTTCCAGAAAATAATGACTAGAGGTGCATCTTAGATCAGAGGGGGTGCACATGCCTGGCACGTTATTCAACACTAAATTATGCATTTTCCAGTCATTTCAAGTTGGATGATACCAGCCAAGCAAGAATATTTAAATTGTCTTTCAAGTGCTTTATTGCAGCAATATTGTAGCAGAACACAGGCCCGGTTTTACGAGGGTGCATAAGCATGCATTGCACCCTTATTTTATGTGTCTGCATGCTCAGTTGAAAACAGTGAAAAAAAAAAAATAAATAATGTTGACATAACAATATAGAACACATTGATAGTTAAGTGCGTATTCTATTTGCCAGTTTAGTTTTAATTCAGTGGTAATTAAATAAAATTCCTGCCTTTCTTCAGTAACGTCACTGTCAACGCTGTCTGTCATGACAAATGCGCGTGACTGCAAGTCACTCATTTGCGTCCAGCGCAGTTACCGGCCTGGCAGCTGCTGCACCAGCTGGACGCAGCTTTCTGCTGTACCGTTAACAGCCTGTAACACAAATAACGTTAACGAGATCGCCATGGATATTTGAAAATGGTTCAAGCAAAACACGACCAGCAACAAATCAGACAATGGTAACGATGGTGAGACAGAGACTCGATCTTGATGTGAAGTTAGCCTAGCTGCTGGGGAGCAAGCGGCAGCCTCGTCCTGCTCACTCCCGCCCGAGCCGCTGCCTTCACCCCCAGCCCCAGAGCAGGCGCCCGGCTCATCCAAAGCACCGCCACCCGACGACCTAGGTAAAGAAGAGCCATAAGACTCTATAAAACCTGCACCTTTTGCTGTGGTATGGCGGTTTCTGCCGGATGAAATGGACCACACAGGTTATTTTTATTTTATTTGAGCTTTTTTTTTTTCTCTTTAAATTCAACTTTACTAAACATGTTTAAAAAAAGACACAGAAAAACAAATAACAAAAATAGGGCATATAAACAATACAATAATTAGTTGTTGAGTAAGTTAGATGGTATGTGTCATGTTCAAAGGGGTAGGAAGAAGTTAAGAATTTTTCTATGTCCTACCACATTATACTGTTTGTGCAAATTTGAAATAAAAAATAAAATAAAATAAAAAACTAGAAATTAAAACTAGGAATTCTATCTATAACAATCAGTGATGGTTTTGAACTGACAACACTGATTGTTATAGATAGAATTCCTAGTTTGAATTTCTATGTTTTATTTTCAGGGTATGAAACATCTGTTACATCAGTCCTGCTAGATGGACTGATGGGTGAGGTAGCCCAGACTAAATGTAGCCTTTTCTTTGTTCTGCCAGCGCCGGTTCCAGAAAATAATGACTAGAGATGCATCTTAGATCAGAGGGGGTGCACATGCCCGGCACGTTATTCAACACTAAATTATGCATTTTCCAGTCATTTCAAGCTGGATGATACCAGCCAAGCAAGAATATTTAAAGTGTCTTTCAAGTGCTTTATTGCAGCAATATTGTAGCAGAACAAAGAAAAGGCTACATTTAGTCTGGGCTACCTCACCCATCAGTCCATCTAGCAACAGATGTTTCTTACCCTGAAAATAAAACAGAAATTTAAAAAAAGAATTCTATCTATAACAATCAGCGTTGTCAGCTCAAAACCATCACTGATTGTTATAGATAGAATTCCTGGTTTCAATCTCTAGTTTTGCTTCTTTTTTTTTTTTAATAATTATTTATTTGATTTTGAAAATCATCTGTACATAGCGCAATGTAAATAAAGAACCAAAAATAAAAAAACATGAAAACAAACAAACAGAAACAACCAAAACAAATGAACAAAGCAAAAATTATATGCTGTTTCATATGGTAGAACAAAGAAAAAAATGTATGCTGTTTCACATTGTCAATAGAGAATTAAAACATTCATCAATGAAGTATACACAATTAAGTAAGGGTCACCCAAACAAATGCAAACAAGAAGAAAAACATAATTCTAAGCAAGTATAAGCCT